TTAATCCTCGTCATCAGTAGCTGGACGATACTCAAGCTCCTCAACGCTCCTCCTAGCTGAAGCAGCACAGGGCGCACATTGTAGCGGTGGTTCTGTGGTCTATAGCTAGCTTAATCCTCGTCATCAGTAGCTGGACGATACTCAAGCTCCTCAACGCTCCTCCTAGCTGAAGCAGCACTGGGCGAACATTGTAGCGGTGGTTCTGTGGTCTATAGCTGGCTTAATCCTCGTCAGCTCCATAAAGTCGGGCGAGACCAGTGCAGATGAAAGGTAATGCCAGGAAGTTGACCAAACGCAGCTCAACCACAGCTTCTGAGTCCAGCACAGATCAGCAGGAACGGGTCGGTTCTTCTCTACGACAACACTGTTCTGAACGTCTTGAAGAAAATGAATTAGCTGGGCTACGAAACGCTCCCACACCGACCAGAGTCAGCCCCCAACGTTTACTATTACTTCAAAGATCTCGACGACTTCCTCGGAGAAAATATTTTAGAAATAACATGACGCTGCATTGGCATTCACCCGCTTCATCGCCTCTAGATCTTCAGACTTCAGTGTGAACAAAATAAAAGGACGGTTCCTAGTTAGCAGAAGTGGATTGATAGCAACGGTTGTCATTCCAATTAATGAACTTTTATTCAAGTCGAACTAGGCCCATATTGAATTTGGTGTTCAAAACCGCAAAGGCTTTCTTTACAACCCGTTATACACTCGAAATCCCTGAGATGTGGGAGGCGTGGCTGCGAACTTGAAAAACGCCGCGGTGGTTGTGCCTTTGATGAAACAGGTTTCCATTTCGAGACAATTGTGTTCATATTTGTATCCATCACAAAACAAAACGACAGTTGTCTTCTTCGAACCAAAAGAAAGACGCACCACCAAATGCACGCAATCGGTTAGAGGAGTGAGAGGTAAATTCCGTTACAGTACGGTTGCAAATTCAAAAACGACAAAATAACTTACACCTCCTGTAACAATCCGTACACCGTAGCCTGTGCATCAAAGGGAAGACTGCTCGTCGCTTCGTCCAAAAACACGAACTGCGGTCGATGAAACAAAACTCTCGCAATGGACAGTCGTTGCTGCTCACCAGGAGAAAGTGTATCTTGCCTTGAATACACTTTGAGATCCAAGTCTTCATCGGATCATGCGCTCTGTTTCACATTCATCTATGTGAAATCCGTGATCGGTACTCACCATTCAAAAGTGGCAGGTTCAGTCAAGCCACCGCACATTGAAACGAGCGTATGCAATTTTAACGAGTGCAAAATTTTCAGAATTCTGTCGCTTTCTGAAAACAAGCTTTGAAAGCAACACTGTAAAGTATGGCTCACCAACTACCACAACAGGCGAATGTGTGATTAATAAAAAATTTAACACAAACTAACGAACCATGAGGACACAAACAGATCAATGAAATATACAGAAAATGAGCGCATCGTCAGTAGTCGTCGCTCAGATGAACTCATACTAACAGCGCACTCTCGGTGACAAATACCCGCCTAACGTGTTTTCCATTTTTGTTTGGAGACAAAGTGCACACTCGCCTCCGTGGATCTAGGAACGGAGACTGGGCAGGAATGCGATCAAATTGCGCTCGCGCTCGCGCGCGCGCAACGGGCCCGCTACGAAGACCGTTCTCACTCGAAGTTTGCGCTGACCCTGCGCTCATTATGAAGCGCAGTCGGAACTTTGATAAGTAAAGACAACGGACGTGATAGAGCACTTATATCTATTTTCGGTATAAATTGTGTATTTCCTCGACGCCAACACACCTGAACATCGTCGTTATTAGCGACCGCGACTCGCACGCGACTCCAGCTGGCCGGCGAATAACGATTCTCTTATCACATACCCGGGCTGGAGACTAGACACACAGGGCGCCGGGCTTTGCTCATACTCCATCCGCGCTGCCGCATGACCACCCACACGCCTCCCCATAGCCATGCGCTCTACTTTTCTGAGCCCTCTCACTTCTGGTTGCACTCCGGGGCTGAGTGCGCGTTTGCGGGACATTGGCATCGACGCAAGTGCTGCACATTGAGGATAGCGCGTGCGGAGCATGGAGAGGGCACTCGGTTCCCACAGTATGGAAACATCACCCGCATACCCTGACCCTTCAGACAGTACCCTTCGGCACTGTGTTCGAGCACATCTGAGCGGAGAACGTGCCACACTACGGAACCTGCGTACTCATTCATCTCGCGCATGGAAAGGATCAGGTGCAAGGAGGTGAGTGAACAGTTTGTCTCCAACGTGCACAATGTGGAGGTTCATTTCTATTTTTTTAACTTTTGGTCAACAGCTCAGCACAGTTAGGACAATGTGGAGCTGAGCAGAGGCACCGGGAGTTTGAGGTTGCCGGGAGTTTGAGGTTGCAACAAATTCCTAACCATCACCTCATTTTACAGGAAGGCTTACACTTTTTCCCCTTTACTCTCTCGTATTTTCACTACCACACGTTCACTTTTACACCTTATGAAAGCTACTATCCTCACTCTTTACGCTGTCACCACATTGTTCTACAGCATGCCAAGCCTCAAGGAGTTGACGTTGAGCAGAGAATCGTCTTGCAAGCAATACGAAGCAACTTGATGGATTCTATTTCTGCCCTCTCACTTATTTGGTTGCCGTTATCTGGCCCTTCCTTCGTCCCCAGATCTATCAGGTACCAAATAGTCGACCCCGGAGTGACGAGAGTCCTGGTGAGATCGGTTCGAGGTCTGACCACTGGAGTGTGCTCCTGGTAGGCGCTCTTGCCACCACACCTACATGGCCCTTACAGCTGAGTTGATACGGTGACGTAATATTAATCAAAGAGTGGAAGAACTACAAATGTACAAAATAGACGCACAAAAATTGATATCTCACCCAGATCAAGGCATGGCATATCACATTCTAATCGAGGGAACACAATTTGTTGTCGTATTGACAGTGACCCTGTAGGAAAATATGGTCGTTGAGGTAGGAACATAGCAGTCGTGCAAGTGAAATTTCTGATGACTGTGCCTGAAAATGGACGGAAACATTGCTTGTCACATCAAAGTTGTGAACCGCATAAAAACCTTACCAGAGCGTGGTTCCCATAATTTTTTCAGAACTCTCAGCAAAGAGGTCTTTCCAACACCACTGCTACCAGTTATGAGAAGAGTTTTGTTCTTAGGAAGTCGAAGACTGAGATCTGAGAATTGCGTTCCCGTCAAAGGTCGTGTAAAGCGGTGAAATGAAATGAAATGGCAAAGAAAAGTCAAACAATACAGAAAGCAGAAAATAGCTGGAGAAAAGAAAGAGAGAAAGCGATTACCAGAATCATTAAAAAGCTAGTTCTCATCTCATTTAGAGGCATGGTCCGCGATCAGGTATCGAAGTTGAAAATATGGCGTCAGGAGGTTAGAGTGGTCCGCGACGAACAACCTTGTACCGGTTTCGCGGCAAAAAATTCTAAGGGGGGCGCTATAGCGCAATATAGGTTCAGTGGTTCCTCCTTTTTCCTCCTTTTTTTCCAATGAGGGCGAACTGTGGGAGATAGAGTTAATTGGGCACGTACAAACTGGGATCGAAATGGGGTTCTATCTAGGGCAGGTGGCATGTTTTTTGTGCTTTTTTCTTCATCGAGTTACTCAACCCCTTGTCGTCTATATGGAACCCCCTAATCCACCATCTGAGATGGCGAGTAATCGCGGGTTCTGCCTTTAAAGGTAAGGGGGCGGAAAATATGGTCGTTGAGGTAGGAACATAGCAGTCGTGCAAGTGAAATTTCTGATGACTGTGCCTGAAAATGGACGGAAACATTGCTTGTCACATCAAAGTTGTGAGCCGCATAAAAACCTTACCAGAGCGTGGTTCCCATAATTTTTTCAG